CAAAGCGATGTTAGGGCTACAATGATCGCAAGTCTAAGTCAAAGCATGGGATATCCTTAGCAACAAGATCGCTTTGCGGAACGGGGACCTGGGAAGATTCTTTTCAGAACAGCTAGAAAGGGATCTTATTCCCAAGTCACACAATGCTTAGAATGTGAAAATTGTCTCCATCAAGCAGACTTGTGCCAAGTAGTACCCCTATTTAGAAGAAACCTTCAAAACCATATTGTATTTCTTGTTTTCAGTCTCATTTTCAAGTAGCTGTATGAACTAAAACACAAACATTTATCATCCACAGTAAAGTCTGCTGGGGAATGGGTGGGCTGGTAAGATTGTTCTTAGGACTGTATCATATTTTGTTGCTACCCCTCCCTCACCCCAACCCACCCCATCACACACACACACACACACACACACTCTCTCTCTCTCTCTCTCTCTCTCACACACACACACACACACACCACCAATTTTATGGAAGGTCTTTTTTATATCCCACCCACGCCCAAATACATGTAACATATGACCCACCCCTTCCCCTAAAACAAACAGCCACAGGTACCATGCATAATAATGATACGATGACTAGAATCAAAGTGTTCCGATTTATATGAAAGAATTTTTAACTATATAAATTTTGTATTCATTTCCCCCCACACACCCCTATAGGTGTGATAAATTTAGGCGACCTCCTTCTTTTACTGTGTCTTATTTTCAAGACACCTATCCCCCAATTCTCACCGGCCCAACATCACCTATAATATATGACAAGTACCTTATTCTTGTCAGGAAATGTTGATACAGAAGAGACTTGGTACATATCAAGTAAGGTACAGCTAAACAATTCAAATTTTCATGATGCAAAAATGTTCCTAACCAAATATTTCAGATATGAAAATGCCATGACCACTAAGAAAAATGCTCTTAAAAACAGATACCATATTTGTTGAAACAAAAAGCAGAATTTTTTCTTGTTTTAAAAGAGTCATTAAGGATTTGAAAGTGGGAGCTGTGTTTTTCCAACCAGTACATGTTACAGCCAAATTGACATATGTCACAACAAATTAATCATTTGTTGTTCTCGAGTTTTGCCACAAAACTAGAGCGAGAGGTCATTAGCTATTTCACCATCTGTTTGTAGCTCCCAAAACATGTAAATGACACTTTCATGCACACAGTTTTGCATCTGAATCTATTATTTTGTGACATCAATTTCCTTGCCCTTATTGTTCAAATTTTGTTTTGTTTCTTGTTAAAGGAAGGTTATCTTTCAAAAATTTCAGTTTCCAGTTTGTATACGTCTATCATAAATATTTAAAAAATTAGTTCAGGTTTAACCAGTATTTACTATTTCCAGACCAACTGGAAAATACAAAATGATGAAAGATTTTCTAAGGTCAAAAGCAGTTTTTTAAACCATGACCATAAAACAAGAACAAATTAACATGTCAGATCATTAATTCGACCATGACATTGATGAATGCTTGATTCTGATTGGTTAAAAAGAGGTTTCATGTCAGATCATAAAGTGATTGATGTCACAATTACAGTAGTCATAATGAAGAAAGACCATACATCGCATTGAATGTCAACAACATGGGTATTCACCTTAATAAGCACACTGGGCACAGGGTAATGGACAAAGTGGGGCACTTATTAAAACCATAAATAATTAGTTAAATTTATTTTCTGAGATAGAGCGGCAGTGAAAACAATCAGTTCAAACATCAATATAAAAGCATTTATGATATAAGTTACTAGCCACTTAAATGACCCTGTGAATCTGTTTTCTGTAAAAATAATCTGTAATATACACAAGACAATATGGACTGTCACATATGTTTTTGGTCTTACTAGGGGGTGCGTACAAAGATTATTTACAAATTGGTCTGGAAGTCGGTGGGGGATGCTAATCGGTGCAGGGAACTTAATATACAGCATATATGGTAATCATAACTCTGTGTCAGTTTTGAATCCTCTTAAATCATTTGAATACAAGTAAAGTTGTACAAACCCAGCAGTAAAACTATCAAATTGCAGTTTCATGCAACTATACAGAAAAGCTGTGTTCGCCAATACACAGAAGTATTAAGAAAACATTCAGACAAGTAGCATAACATCATGAGGAGGAAGGAAAATCTCACTGCAAAGTGTAATTAGGCCCGAAGAAGATGAACATGTTAAAATCAATGCAGGAATAGAAACAGTATCAAAAATTCATGCTGTCAAAACAAACCCTCCATGTAGAATTTGTTGTTAGAAACAACAGAATTCCGTCTGCTGCAGCCTTATTTGGGAATTGCGTTATTATAAATGATTGAAGTTTGTCTAGAGTTTTAAATTAGAACAACATAATACTTTAAAACGGCCAAGAGGCTTAGTGACTTTTTTCCTATAGGATATTCTCACTACACCTCAATTTCTATAAATTTCCTTGGAAGCAGCACCAGCAACAACACAGCTCACACTAACAACAGTCATCTTTATGTGTCAGCAGTGTGTTTGATGTCACATTCAGCGATTTCAGCCATACGATGGAAGCCTGTAAATAATCAAGTCTGGAGCAGACAATCTAGGGATGGGCGAGATGAGCAATGTTCCAATCAATCAACCAAGTACCCAAGGCTGACCTCCTGATCCCTTTAGACATCTTTTATGACAAGCATAGCTTCCTTCCAGCATGGGGACCTACTCTATGTAATTTTATTATATATTTCAATCATTACTTCTAACGCAAGTTTTTTAATTGTCCAGACATTTCTATATATTAGTTGTAGTTATTAAGCTGATAATAAAAAAGACATTCATAAAGCATAGTAGTTAAAACAAATTATAAAGTCAGCAAACATTCCGATTGAAAAGGTGAGATTAAATTAACATGGGAAAACAGTTCATCTTTAGCTAAGTCATGATAATAATTACACTGGCAACTGCAGTTGTAATTATAGACAAACAGGAAGTCATCCTGGGCCCCGTTCCACAAAGCCATCTTAGCGCTAAGGTGATCGTAAGTCCCGTACTTTAACACTGGCTTATGATAGTCGTAACGCTAAGATCGCTTTGTGGAACGGTGCCCTTGTCAATACCATACAACATTCCCTGACTACTACGTTAGATTACCAAAATCAGGATAATAAATCCCTACCTACAAATTTAACAAATTACAAATCTAATACATGATTAAGAGATAATTCATAATTTCAACTGTTGTAGGTTATCAACTGTCAAGTTTTTCGGGTTTTTTTACACATGATTTAGTCTGGTCTGTGAATAAAACCACTAAAAGCTATTTGATGGCGGTTTGTAAATAATCGAGTCTGGACCAGACAATCCAGTGATTGACATCATGAGTACTGATCTATGCAATTGGGATAAAATGACATGCATCAACTAAGTCAGCGAGCCTGACCACCAGTTGCGGTTTATAACATGACTGGTTTGCGGCAGACCAATTCTAACCTGCCGCTAAAAGTAATGAAATTATTTTGATATCGTAATTGTTGACATTTAGCACACTATGACATCAATGTCACAACATCCATATGGCTTAATGTCAGAACCCACATCTAAATACTTTTAGAAAAGCTGTAGCCATAATATCTGTAGAAGAAATTAACTATAAATGAGTCACTCGGATTAAATGCCAGTTAAACAGTATTTCAGTTATATCATGGCATATGACAGCTTAATGTGGGAGGAAAGTTTGAAGTGATGCAGGTCTAAGAATAGTTTGCCACAATAGTGAAACCCAGTCTAGTGCTGATAAACCTAGAATGAATGAGGACAAATTGAACAAACTGTCATTGGATTCTGGCAAGCCCAAGGGACACAACTCTGCACAAGGATATCCTGATATGTTTACTGATTTTTTTATGCCGTTAGTTTTATCCTGTATAAAATTTCAGCTTCACTGTATGAATGTACAAAGAAAACAATACCGGGACAATACCGATAGCCTAGTGGTTAAAGTGTTGGCTTGTCATTCTGAAGACGCAAGTTTTATTCCCCACAATGTCTGAAGCCCATTTCTGGTGTTCCCCTGCTGTGATGTGGCTAGAATATTGCTAAGAGCAGTATAAATCCCGAACTCCCTCACTTATTCTGAAATATATATCAGCACCACAAGTCATACTTAACAGCCTTCACCATACAAGTGATGCACAGTATAATCCAATATTTTTCAACAAACTGAAATCAATACTTTTAAGAAGAATTTAGGTCATGTTTGGACCAGAGAGGTCTATTCACACCCAGTGAAACTGTTAGTGTTTAAAGAGTTGTCTCCCATTCCATAACTTCCTTACAGAACACGACAAAGATTATCCTGATTTTGGTTTACAATACAGTATTTGTCTAGTAAACTTCGTTATTTCATTGAAATAGCCACACCATCTAAATATTCATATTATTTTTACCAACAAATATTCAAAAAGCTGCATTGCCTTTAAGGGAAAACATCAACTTTTTTACAAACATTTATTTTTCAATTATGGAAACAATATCTTCATAGATTGTATGGCTATTGTCATGAAATAACTTTACAGTTGATACAAGGCTTATTAAAAAAAACAACTCCCGGCCAGCAAAGTAATCACAAAGTCAAAGAAAAATTGTATTAGATGTTAGTTATTTCATACATACATATTGAATAACATATAAAACAAACACTAGAAGAATAAAACCCATTACATCCACATAACCTCAGCATGATAAGTTTCCTGACAGGTAAATTATAGCATTTATAGCACATTTACAAGTTTACCATGACACTGCATTGTGTTAGTATCCTCTCTAACTCTTCATTCTCATGCAAGTGAGACTGTACAATATAGCATGTCAATATCACTGTCTACAGGAATCAGTTGATGTCAATAGGTAAAGCACTTCTCTGTCAACATGCATCCATGCTCCATCGAGACCTTTCACAGATGTCAACATTGTCACTATATACTTAGAGATTTCAATCATGCAGTTAATGTTACTATCGCTAGGGGCACACCTACCTCGGGGGTTCTTCGTCTGCATCATGGCGTTGTCAACTTGGATGGTTGAGTTGGCGCCATTTCTTGTAAACCTGACTATGTGGTATTTCCCATCGTTCACACGCTCAAACAGTTCTCCAATTGGATGGTCTGATGTCCCCATGTTGTACACCACAAACACGTTTCCATTTACCTGGAAAATGGACCACATGTTAAGAAAAAACAAATAAGTTCTCAGGCAAAGCCTTAAAAACTGGTGATGGGGCAGTCTCTTTTTTTCTCATGTTCCTAATACGAGAGTTGATTGATAAGTTCTGAGCCTCACATAGAATGAATTACAAAATAGTTCATATTCCTCCAGTATGTCCCTTTCCCAAAGGTCACAGACCCCTGCTTATTTTACTGACTCAGTTGTTTTTTTGACATACCTCTATAACATCATTTCATGTCAACAAAACAAGATTTCACTATTATGCAAATCATTCTGAACGGTTCAGAACTTATCAAGCAATCCTAATATCTAACAAATAAAGTCAAGCACCTAAAATATGGCTCTTGGAATCATATCTATGAAATTTATCCCATATTCTATCATTTACCAGATAGGAATCTAATACCATATTCAATCTATAAGCACCCCACTCCTCCAAAACAAAAATCTGTTAAAGCCAGTGAGACTAAACACTGCTTTTTTATGTTTCATATTTAATACCATTGTAGCAGTCACACACATTGGGAGATATTTGCACTTGATATTACTGAGATGCATACAGTATTCCTTGATCAAAGGGTTTCCTTACCAGTTCCAATTCGAGGTAATCATCATAGTTCCCACTGTTTATTCTGGCAAGTACAGCATCCTTGGACCGCGTTGTGAAGCCCAGGGCTAGGTTGTCCCGGATTGCATTTGGATGTTTTCCTTGAGGGTGGGACAAGATCACCATGCCACCATTAGGGCCAAACTCATAGCTGGTGCTCTCTGCAAACACACAGACATCATAAGATGACCCACACACTGATAGGCATAACTGTACAAACAGCCCAAATTGTCCTGTATCTTTATCAAAATTTTCATGTTGGACTGCATCGGTGCCAGGCTCTCATTTTGCTGTGTTTTTGTGATTTTTCCATCTTTTCACAAAATTTCTGCATTACCTTTCTTTCCACTACCCATGCAGAAATGGCCAATTCATTTTTGGTACTAAGTTTTGTATAGATGTTGGCAACATATTTATATTTTTGGATATTTACGATTTTACTACTTTTGTGTTTCTTTTTTTGCAGAAAAATATATTACTCATAACACCTATTGGGCAGTTTGAACATCACAGATTTTTCAACAAGATTTATTTCAAGAACCAACAAATAAAACAAGAAAACAGCGTTATCACTATCCCCTGCAATGGGGCACATTAGAATTTTGGTTGTTCAAATAGTAGTGAATATAAACTATGAAACAAGAGTCCTGTAAAGCCTTAAGAAGAGATGGGCACTAGGGTAGCTTCACATAATCAAATAAATTTATTAAATGTGAAATAAATACACACAAAAGGCCCCTTCTCTGGAAAAGATAATTTATGGCACCAATTCTTGAACTCAGTCTTGTATATCTTAGATAAACTAACTTCAGTAGTTTCTGAGAAAACCTGTCCCCATTGCAGACACTATGCACTGTGTAAAATAACATGGATCAGGGGCCATAACTGTGTATGCTCAAAATCTAAGCAAGGGAACTTTCATTCAAGTAACTTCAGTAGTTTCTGGGGCCATAACTCTGTAAAGAAACAAACTTAAGGCACCAATTTTTGGACTCATTAAAGATAACACCAGTAATATCAGTGTGTACAATTTCATTTCTCTAACTTAAATTGTTTTTGAAAAAACTTGTCTCCTTTGAGAAGCAGACAGTTCCTATATCCCCAGCCCCACTTTGTGGTTGGTGATAATAAATTAGGTATATCATGAAATTTAACACCTTTATTTGCAAGTATGTGTCATTTTATACAGGTTCGAGGCTTTTATAAGCTATTTTTGTGATTTGTAAGGTTTTCAAGGTTGTCACTAAAATTCAAGTCCTTTTCAAGCCTGTATGAACCTTGTTTTGAACCTTAGATATATGGGCTGTTATGAGCTAAACTTATGAGACTCAGGTTTCGCAAGATGCTTAATAACTACATTGTTTCAGCTGAAACAATCACTACAAGGTTCCCTTCTATAAACTAAAATATTCATGTTATTTGTTACATAAATTTGTTACAAGAGTTATAGTATCGGTGGGGGCACCCAGTTGCGTCCCTTGGGCACACCAGAAACCTATGATTGTTGGTTTGAATTTCAGTTCGCCCTAATTATGTTTCTAGGTTTGTCAGCACCATACCTGTGCTCGTGGGTTTCACCAAAGTGGTAAACGTCTAGGACCTGCATCACTTCGGGTTTTCCTCCCACATTAAGCTGACATGCAACGATAACTGGAATACTGTTAAAAGTGGCGTTAAACCCAGCTCACTCACTCACTCACTATAGTATCGGTATCTCACAATATAAAACTTTATGAATTCAGGTAGGGTTTGTAGCAGACTAATGTGATTGTTTTCAGTTGATCTATAGGATGCCGATTGTACATACTTTCATTACATGTGGTGCCTTCAAATGATGTCATGTCGCAGTCACAGTTGTAGGAGTTCCACTGCTGGACACAGCGGCCGTAGTTGTTGCAGGAGTCAGCCTGACACTGGGTCGTGGGGCCTGAAAGGGCAGGAGGAAACAGTAGAAGCAAGTCACATCAACAACAGGCACAGAACACTCTGTTACATGATTTGGTTTGGTTTGTTGTTTTACGCCTCACTCAGCAATATTCCAGCTATACGACGGCGGTCTGTAAAGTAATCGAGTCTCGACCAGACAATCCAGTGATTGATATCACGAGCATCGATACACACAATTGGGATCGATGACCTGCATCAACCAAGTCAGCGAGCCTGACCACTCGATCCCGTTGGTCGCCTTTTACAACAAGCATAGTCGCCTTTTATGGCAAGCATGGGTTGCTGAAGACCTTTTCTACCCCGGAATCTTCAAGGGCATTCTCTGTTACATGATATTATGCTACCATTACACTGTGTTGCATGACGTTGTGTAACATGACACTGTTACATGATACTATGCTACCATGACACTGTGTAACATGACACTGGGATGCATGACACTGTGTAACATGACACTGTTACATGATACTATGCTACCATGACACTGGGTTGCATGACACTGGGTTGCATGACACTGTGTAACATGACACTGTTACATGATACTATGCTACCATGACACTGTGTAACATGACACTGGGTTGCATGACACTGTGTAACATGACACTGTTACATGATACTATGCTACCATGACACTGTGTAACATGACACTGTGTAACATGACACTGTTACGTGACACTGGGTTACATGACAGAGGCTTACATTACATTCATTGAACCAGGTATGAGAGTTCCACTTAACTTCTATTAACACACGAGCATTCATGTCTGAGTGAATATGTTCAATTTAATTCACACAATAATCCATCCTTCACAACAGCCACAACAATAGAAGTTGTCAACAGTCAACGAGAAACCACTCAATAAGTCAAATAGCAATTTTCTGTCTGGGCTCCATTTCACGAAGCAATCTAAGGGCTACGACTAACATAAGTAGATGTTCAATTATGGGAGTGATGACAAACAATTGTAGTCATATGGCTTCATGAAATGGGCCCTGGTTCCACAATGCTGTGAAGCTGAGATTATAGGACCTCCTCACCTTTGCATCCCTCTACCACGGACTCATGTATGGTGTCCGCCTCCTTCACAAGCTGTGGCAAGTAACTGTTCAAATCCAAAGAACCCAAACAACCCAGGAACCCATGGCGAGACTTGATATTTTTCGGCAGAGAGTGGTACATTGTCTTCCTCACTCCACCCACATACAAATGTCCTTCCAAATTGAAGTTAACAGCGTGGGCTCCCTGTAGGTTGTCCACGGTTGGGGTATTGTCGTCCACCCTGATCAGCTGTTTGTATGTTTGTGGACGCAACAACTTCACCTCATGCCATTTGTTGTCGTTCAACACTGACTTGGAGTTGGCCCGTATCCGTTCTGAGCCATCTCCCATGTTGTATACATAGTACAAATATCCTTCTGACATTTCTATTGCAAAGAAATCCTGCCCTCTGCCAGAGTTATAAAACAATAATCCATAAGCTTCTGTTGTTTTGAATTGAAATGATAATGAAAAATCCTCATACGCTTGAAGCTGATTCAAAGTTGCAAATGCAGATGCTGACTTGAAGGTTACAGGGTCCCTCACAACATAGTCATCAGTGCTAAATCTAGCTGTCACAACAATGTTTTCTATATCTCCTATTTTAGCCAGCTCGAAGAATGCATTCTTGTTAAAGAGGAACTGTTGCATAGATCCGATGAAGCCCGAGTAGTCCCCGAGAGAATTATCGTCTAGCATCATGTGACCGATCTTGATGCCACGGAAGTCCAGATCCTCCACTCTCCCACCCATGTCAGCTGCAATGTCATAAATATAACGGTTAATATTTCTGTCAAAATGGCCAATTTCAGAAGTAATGAATGAGTATCGCCTGACTGACAAAAAATGTCATTACACTGTTGATGAAACTTGACGATTAAAATTTTGTTGATTTATAAATCAAGTAATGATGAATACCAAAATATCTAAAGCCTACTTGAGTGTGTTTTCAATAATTGCATATCATTTCATAATGTGACATTGATGCATGTGATATATAAAGTCCTGGGTACACAAGAATGGTCACTTATACCAATAAACTGCCAATTCATCCTTGTTTGAAAAGTAGGTTAGCCTTAGGAATACTTCGCTATAGTATAGAAAAAATAAATAAATACTACAGATGAAGAAACTCTATCTATCTTCATCATATGCCAGATACGGTATACCTGTACATCACAAAACATAGTTTGAAGTAATCATGGTTCATATGATTGACTGTAATGTGCAGACCAAAATACAACAAAGGGAAAGACACATTACATGCACTGACAGAGTTGTCTCCCATTAACTACTCAAGTCACTACAATCAGCTTCACATGAAGATGCTTCATAAGAATATGTGCTGTATATAAGTTTTATAGCTTACATAGATAATTAACGGTACAATGTGGATTCTACATCAAAACTAAATTGTAGCATTGTAAAACAATGTTTGCAGTTGTGTGGTAGAAGAAACAAAGAGGTCATCATGCAGTGATGGTTAAGTACTCTCGGAACCAGTTTCCCGCATTGTTCGAGGTAAGTCAAACAAGTTAAATGTCAGATGACCAGTAATTCCTCTATTAGGTTGCTGGCTTTATTAGCTAGTTATGATTTCTCCCCAACATGTTTTAAATGGGAGTGCAAGAGTGGAGGTTTAGAAACATGTCCTTTCATAATTATTTCACAATATGGTGTTTTCAACACGGAATTTAGTACTGACTATAAAAGCGTTTGAAAGCTCAAGCACTGGTTCAATTTATGAGTATAGAAATTATATCTGGAATTTCTGGTAAATTTGTTACTGCAAAGGTTTTAAATACAAAACGGCCCCTTAAAACATGACCAAACATATAGGAACTCATTTAGTGTCATAATATCAAGATGCGTTGCAACCAAAAGAAGCAAACAGTACATCCCACGTGATACACTTGTAACATAAATACTCTGGATGAGGAAACCACAAGATGACCAAAGAAAGATGTGCCCAATAAAACAGAAAATTGTCAAAAAATCAAGCCCATGTTGTTCAAAATTCTGAAACTAAAACCTTGAAATGATAAGTGCAAAATGAAAACATTGACACATGGCACCATACACAACAAACATAGGTGTTATACCAGCAGCAAGGGGCTCTAAAGAGCCAATGTAAATGACGTTGGAATCTAAGGAGGTCTCCTGTCCTGGAAGCTGGTCTGAAATACAATACACACACAGGGTTCATCATATTTCTTTCTTCATGTCAAGTTCCTGTACAAGTCCATACTTTTAGTGCCATGTACCATTCTTTACGGCTGGGACGGGGAGCTCGGGAACTCAGGTCGGTAGGGTCCTGAATAGGACCTGGGTACCCAAAGACCACCCGGACCCATGGTTAGTTACGTGATATATTGTTCAGTGCAAATAACAATAGTGTAGCTAAGTATACTGGTAAAACAATTCTGAATCGGACATTTTGTATCCAACTTGATACTTACAGCGGGTAATAGGATTTGGTACCCAAGGAGTAAATTTCGACTCGTCCCACCCATACCATTCATTTTGGACAAAATAATCACTTCCTTATTATTTTGAATTGATTCAAGAAAGATGTCACATGTAGTCAGAAATTCTGCCATCCACTGAACTATTAATGATATTCATTTACCTATCAATTGTTAACAGGTACAGTCGTGCCCCGCTTATACAGACTTCAGATATCCGGAAACCTCGGTTCCTGGACGATTTTCATTTAAAATGAAATAATTACTATATAAATTTACCCGTATATACGGAAATTCAGGTTTCCGGAACCGGACGGTCATTTTCATACACAAAACACTGAAATGCACACAAAATTGTTTCACTTATCCGGACAATACACTTCCGCTGGTGGTAATCCTTTGATTCGTGAGAAGTCAATTAACCAAGTGACACTGAGTTATGTTTGAGACAGGCCTGTTTATTGTACATGTAATCCCCTTCGATAAATATGGCGTCTGTGGAGGTCGGAGGTCAAAGTTGTGTAAGTATGGCCTGTCAACCAGCGAAATGTAAGCGACACACAGTTACAGCACGCGAAAAAAGGGAAATTTGTCTGTTTAAGGAAAAACACACGTCAGCCAGTTTAGAAACCATCAGTAAGCATTATGGCACTGAATTTGGACATACCATAGGAAAATCGACAATTGGTGACATTTTAAAAGACAAACAGAAGTGGCTAAATCTCCCGGAAAATTCAAATGACTTGTCACAATCCCGTGTAGCAAAACACCAGAAGCTGGAAGATGCATTATATCTTTGGTTGTGTGACATGACAAGTCGTAATGTATTTATTTATTATTTAAGAATAAAGATTGAGTGGATGTATCTGTTTGCTCTGTCATCTGTCATGAGTTGCATAATTGAAGGTAAGTAACTCTTCCAGTAAGAAGCTGGTTTCAGTTATACAGAAATTCGTTTATACGACTGAATTGTGAAATGACGCAAGTGTCCGTATAAACCAGGCACGACTGTACTTCATTTTGGACCCATTTCATTTTCGTGAGCCATTAAATGCAATAACACAAATATATGATATCATGTGGTTTTAAGATTTTTAATAAAATTTCTTTTTCCAGAAATAAATGAATGAACACCTTGACTGACTGTAATTTAATCATGTGGAATACAATAACTTATTTCAACAAATTTGTTGCTATCAATTAATGTACACCCACAGGGCCTTCAGACAAAGTCATCTGGGAATTTAGACTTTTACTGCATATGACTAAAAAGAATCACTCCAATTCATTGAAGTGACATAAAATATTCTAGACAGTTGTCTCCCTTTACCTGTAACGGGTCTGTGAGAGTCGATACCAAGTTCAATAGTCTGGGCTCGACGTTTGATGACAACAGTGTGCCAGCGGTCATCGTTCAGGACACTCCCCACTGTCAGTTCCTGTGAAATGAAAGTATCAGTAAAAATAATGCAACACCTACTATTTTGTAATCGTTCTAAGATCTGAATAATAATCTGCAGTAAATGTATAGTACTCCTGCCTCGGGATCTGTTCAACACTAACAACACAGAGGGAGATCTGTGTGTCCCAAAGAATGACAACTGGCCTTTTGAAGTGAGAAAATCCAACCTCACTTTGTATACGGTTCTGAGCTCAATGTGTACTGTGACATATAGAGACAGAGCCAAGTTTAAACGCTTCACTGTTACCCCTTCATTGAAAAACTGTTGTTTCCTACTGATTATCTGTACAATGGCATATATTTTGTTACTCTGGAATAGCAATTTTTGTGAATCTTTGTGTGTTTGTTTGTTTGTAGCTTAACATCACATTCACAAGAATTCCAGCTTTATGACAGCGGTCTGTAAATAATTGAGTAAGGACCAGACAATCCTGTGATTGACATCATAAGCATTGATCTTCGCAATCGGGATACGATGACATGCACCAAACAAGTCCAAGAGCCTGACCGCCTGACCCTGTTAGTCGCCTTTTACAACACGCACAGGTTTCCTATTCTATCCCGGATCTTCACGGGTCTTTTGTGCATCTAAATAATGACCTGACATGATGGAAAGTAAAAGGTGTTATGTATCTAACCATTTGTTTCATAACATTATGATACTGGTGCCCATAATATAGTAATAAAATATGGAGCTTTGCCTTTAGATGCATATGATACATGGGTAAATGTATATGACATTTGTAGGTGCAAAATTATATAAATATATCAAATAAAGTATTATGACAGTGTAATGCGGATGTCAATCCAAGTTTTAGAAAACATAAACAACATTATTGACTTATGTTCATGTGGACATTGTTCATCACATCAGAATGTGGAAACAAAAAAGTGAATTTAAATTTGCTTTACCTTTGGTAATCATTTGATCATTGTCAAAGCTAACTAATTTAACACATGTATCTTTTACTTATCATAAATGCCAATCACACATTGAACCTTTTCATACACCAACCACATTTACTGATCACTTATTACCTTCTACATGCTAGCAATAGCAAGACATGAATGCATATAATAAGCAATATTATGAGATACATACTTATACATTATAATTAATATCTATTTCATGTTAAAGGCAGACGTTTTAAACATTAAGGATAACACATAAAACCCATTGAAATATTAGTATTAATATAAGTATTTAAGTATTGGAAGTATTTTTACTAGGTAAATAGGCCTGCAGCTTTTGTGGGAATCTGAATCATGTACGGTACATTATGGCAGGGTATGTTCTGAATTGGGAATCTATAAGAAATACACAGGAGTAGCTCTGTGAAGCATGACAAGTCAAAATCAAAATCATTTATAGGGTGCAGCACAGAGATACTGTTTGTTCGTTGTTTAACGCCGCACTCATCAAAATTTCGGCTATATGATGGAAGTCTGTAAATAATCGAGTCTGGACCAGACAATCCAGTGATTGACAACATGAGCATTGATCCACACAATTGGGATCGATGACAAGCATCAACAAAGTCAGCGAGCCTGACCACTTGATCCTGTTAGTCGACTCTGGCGACAAGCATAGTTGCCTTTTACGGCAAGCACGGATCTTCACGGGCCACAGACATAGTTACCGGAGCTAGGTCATCCCTGACATAGTACTGCATTGGGAAATACATATATATCTCAGGACATGACAATAGATATATAATTGTTTAGAAGGATAGATGTACTGTCCATACACAGGCATGAATGCCGACGACACTAAGGTAAAGGCTGCACTGGTTAACCATCCTTGAGTGTTACAGTAACATTTACCACCTGCATGGCACATACCACATGAGCTATCAGTTGAAGGTTAGGTTAGACTGACTTGGTCAGTGCACCTGGTGGGTTAGTGAATGGAAGACAAAATGAAACAGATTGCCCATTAGACTGCACACAATTAATCTAGTGCCCCCAGTGTCCAAGTGCAAAACTAAGTTTGGTGTCAATACCATTAATCTTAATTGAAAGCATCACAGCCGCCAACCAGCAACCTGAGTTCAACTGTATTACGGAGCCATCAGTATTAGTGCGATATTCTCCCTTAGCATGTAACACAGTTGACCCCCCACAACCAATACTAAGCCTCCAGGTACAAATCTAACCTTGTTGCCACTGCCAACAACATTTCACTTAGGTTCGCAGGCCCTTTCCTCTAAATACCAAAGTAAACTTAAGTGTAAACATTATACAGTCACTATTAGTTGCCACCGCCAACATTACCCTTAGTTCCAGAGCTCCACCCATAAGTGACTAACCTCAGTGCCCCTGCCAACATCAACCTGTAGTTCTAAAGCTCCACCCTGAAGTCACTAACTAACTTCAGTGCCACTTCAAAGATCAACCTGTAGTTCTAGAGCCCCAGCCTCAATGTACAAACTAACGTTAGAGCCACTGCTAACATCAACACTTAGTTCTAAAGCTCTGTCTCAGTTTACCAACCAGCCTTAGTGCCACTGCAACATTAAGCCCTTAGATCTAAAGACAGATTTTAAGGTGAAAACTAACCTTAGTGCCACTGCCAACATCAACCCTTAGTTGTAGATCCCCAGCCTCAATGTACAAACTAACGTTAGAGCCACTGCTAACATCAACACTTAGTTCTAAAGATATGTCTCAGTTTACCAACCAGCCTTAGTGCCACTGCAACATTATGCCCTTAGATCTAGAGACAGATTTTAAGGTGAAACCTAACCTTAGTGCCACTGCCAACATCAACCCTTAGTTCTAGAGCCCCAGCCTCAAGGTACAGCTCCATCCTGTCTGATGTTTTGTCTGAGGTTGTCATGAACAGCAAGCCATTGGGATGCATTGTGCGGAATCGCATGGAAATGTCTTCAGCTTCTGTCGATGACTCTTCTGGGAACTTGACCTTGACATACTGAGTGCCATCAAAGCGGAGACTTGTAGCAGCTGAAACAAAGAGGTACATCACTGAAAGTTACAGAACAACTGAGCATGTGAATACTTGAAATTATGTAGTTCATATCAATTCCCTATTCTCAGTATTTGTCTCTATCTTGTCAGGTAATATAAATGTATAGTTAAGTGAACAATCAGTAAAACATTGATCTTGTATTGTCATGTATCATATTGTTTTCAAAACATCATTTTGAATTCTCAAAAAAAATTGTGTAGTCCATTCTTGTTATACAATGCCATGGTATTGCTAGAATGCAATTGAATGTTGGAACCAAACCTCACTCTATCTGCAGATACAATACATTTTGTCCAGGTTATCACAGTGTTGCATAGTATTGCTTAATCACACCAATGTAACTCTATAGCACAATCACAATGTAACATTAATTTTGTTGCAAGAACTTTGTTAATAGTTGCAACTACAACACAACAAAAACAACATTGTATATGTTGTGTTGGGTATGTGCAGTTTTCATTATGAACTCACCTCCTAACATGTATAACATACATCACACCAGAAAGTACCTGCAGTGTCTACATGGTTTCACAATGAGTAAGTGAGCACTACCACAGTATCCTGTCAATCGATGACATGCAATCACTCTTTGCAATCCCCATTTTAGTAAGCTCTTACGCAAACGAAGGGAGTGCTTGGAATCTAATGGGCTGCTGTGATATATCTGAAATATATCTGACAGAATCATTTAAGAACAGTCTTCCAATTTCTTGGAATACCCATGGAAAGGACAGCAACTAAGTCAAGCTACACAGGTTAAAAAATGTTCATCCCACTGTGGTAAAAAATGTTGTAGGAAATCCAGCCACATCACACAAAAACATTCAACATAGGTTCTTGTCACTATTGGGATTCATAGAGCATCTGCTCGGAGAATGGATGGTCCTGGGTTCCATCCCTGGCCACATCATACCAAAAGACACTACAAGATGGTACTTGTTGTTACCATGCCTGGCTTGACATTAAGGGGCAAAAACAAGGACTGGTCGACTCGGGAGTCATTTAACAGTGCGAGTTGGGTATTCATGTTAATACACACACACACACACACACACACACACACACACACACACACACACACACACACACACACACACACACATGCATACACGTCACTGTATAAGTGCAAAAATCTTGGACGTGACGTTAAACCCCTGTTTCACCTCACCTCTAAGATGAATGAAGTAAGTAGTAAAGTGTGTTTGGGGGCTTCGAACCAAATCAGATGTCTCAGAAACAAAATTGGCTCCCTATGAAAAAGCATCAGTGGTATCAAAAACACATGATGTATGGCAGTCCAAAGACTTATAAAACAGGCCAACCTACTTGGGTCCTGTCTAGGGACACAACTTGAGATTCCTTTAGTTTTTTATCATGTCAAAGGGTGATACATATTGCCTCCAAAAAGAGTCTGTGTAACATTAACATTGATTTTTTTCTGTGAATTATGTTTAAAAAAAAAAATTCAACTTGGATAGTAAACTTTGAAATTTGGTATTATTTTCTTAAGAAGTGATTAAGCCATTTTCACATCTCTCTGTGTCTGTATATATATACACATATGTTTGTCTCACTGAAAGATGATGAAAATATACATTCAAGAATAAGACAGCAGTGGATGAGTTTATTTTAAAAAATTCATTATATAATACAGACTTGGATTTTCAACGTGATAAACCAATCTGAAAAATTTCACTACTTTTCCACAAACTATTCCTACTTGTCTGACACATTGATTTCACTTGATTAAATTTTATCAAAGTTCGTTCATGTCCAGAAAAAAGTCAATCTAACATTAGACACAGGCCTTGAGCAAAGTCTCAAAATTCTCCTTGTCACTTAATGTCTCTCAAAACTAACTGAAAGTAATACCATTCAGGAACATTAGTCTACAATAAAAGATAGGAGCCTCAATTATCTCAGATCAGATCAAATTGTTGTCAGTGTGTCTCTGTATATAACACTTGTTAATTTGAAATGTGACTGCTATTGATGAAAGTAGATCAACGCCAACATGGATTTGAGAAAACTGTTTGACGACTGACATTAATAGACATTCAGACTGGACAGAGGTCCTTGCAGACCATCAATCCAAGCACTGACTGACAGTGACAAGTTTCCCGGTTTGATTTCAGGAATAACTTGATGAAAATCACAGACTTGCAATTATCATATCAACTAATTCACTTTAATGGTCTCAATGTAAACCCTAAAAACCAACCTAACTAAGTTACTAGGAACCATCGACTGAATCCAGGATATGCATGGTGAGAAATTGACTGCACTTCTCAGTCAATACTCAAACATACAGCTAGTTTCTTTGATGTCCTGGGTAAAAGGATTTTCACACGGTAGTATCAATGCATCAATAGATTCTACAACAACTTGTCACACTCATCCAATATGAGAATATTGATACAAATGTAAAATGTATTACTATTAACATGCCTGACACTAAAAGCAACTAAGAAGGTGATCAGGTGTCCAAAATGGGGGGTGAGGTGAGGTGAAATGGGGTTTAACATCTCGTCCAAGATTATTGCACTTATATAGCGACGTGCATGCACGTTTGTGTGTGTGTGTGTGTGTGTGTGTGTGTGTGTGTGGCTGCTTGTACTAGTCCAGACTGATGCCAATTTATAGTGCTAGCACACTGAGATACAATGCCGCAGTTTAACATGAATACCCCACTCAGACACAGTATACTGACTCTGAGCCGACCAGTACTTGTTTTAGCCCCTTAATGCCGAGCGCCAGACAGGGTAACAACAAGTACCATCTTTTAACGTCTTTTGGTATGATGTGGCTGGGGATCGAACCCCGGACCTTCCTCTCTCCGGTCGGACGCTCTACCACTAGACCAGGGAGGCGGTCTGTCCAAAATGGAGTCCATAGGGAATGATCAAGGGCAAGAGAGAGTGTATATTTTTTTATGGAAAGGGGGTTAGGTGAGTGAGTGATTATGGTTATCTGCCACCATTAGCAATATCCTAGGAATATGGAGGCATGGGACACCAGAAAAGAGCTCAAAACACTGTATCCATTTGGGCCTTAAACCACTATGCTACCCCACCACCCTGGCCCATTAAGAAGTCAGTAATATTAGCGCCTAACAGGCAGCTTGGGTTGTATACTCCCCAGGGAGCTGAGAATGATCCTTAAGTGCACACTGATCCAGTGACAGGGGTAATAATAGCGCTTAGAGCATCCACCTAAGTGGTGTGGAAATATGCACAATATTAATAGCCTATTATAATAATATTATGGTACTATAATACCAGCATATAAAGAAATCGAAACTGAACCAGATAAATGTTCATAGTGTCAGAAAAGACACTCAAAAGCACTGTTTCTGGACGTTTCTTTTGGCCAAAATTGACATAACGACTTTTCTTTTCTTTTTTTGACACGCTCATTTGCATGATTCACAAACACTGTCTGGAAATGTACAATTTTTGTATTCTGGAGGGAAAATCTATTTGTCTCTGGTCTTACAATGCCAGGTTTGCAGCAATGGAAAGTTTAGTAGGGGGCATGTATATACTGCACTCGGCAAGTGCAAAAGGCCTTATAATCCACACACATAACACATCGAACACTGAACCACAGCTGAAGGTAGGTCTTGCATAAATATCCTCCATGTATGCACTTTACATGCATAGTAGCCATTATGGTCATGCCATCCTACCAACAACGTATCTTCAGTAAGGAATCAAAACATTGATTACCAGACACTTTCACAACAAGCTCCTAAAACTTAAATGTCTGGCAACATAGCTTAATCAATGCAACCAGAGATTTACAACACTGTTGGGGAAATGAGAACAAAGTCAATTTAATTCAATGTCATTTTTGATAGGAAATACCATAAAATATTGTCTGGCCTGCACTTGCTAGAGCGAGGAGCAATTTATATGTACATTCCCATAGAGCTCCTATACAGAAAACTGTCACCAGAGTTAACTTCATTTTGGACCAGAAACAATACATTGCTGTCATGGTAAAACTTTGATAATAGCGTCAGCTTCAGCTTCATTATTTGCTAGATACTCACTCAGAAGAGAAAAAATAATGCAGTTTTGCTATGCCTCCAGACTGAACAAAAAAATGTGAAACTATAAGCAAAGATTGATGACAATGTGTTTTTCCCTTGTTAATAATGAGGAAAACTGTTTACTCATGGCGTACCTAACACTCCATCTTGTGAGACTGAAACATGACTTTTAGACGATATGAACTTTAACAAAGTAACTTTTTTTTTTCTAAGCAAGAATTGTGTCTCCTGGTAAGTGATGGGACTTAACCAAGCTCCTTTAAAGTTTCATTGAAACTCCAGATATGCTGACTGGTACTTAAAAAAGATATGTAGTTATGATTTCTTGTAGCCACAGCTGTGGTTAAGATTCAGCTGCTAATATCTCATGACTGAATAATCGAAACCTGAAAATAGGTGGTAGAATAATGGAAGGATTGTATGCAAAGGTCAGATAAACAGATGTGTGGACAATTAAATGTTGTCATGTTGCCTCATCCTAAATGCCACATTGTACAATCATTTGAATCATATCAGACTGCACATATTTACACTGAACATGAACAGTATATTTTGCTAACTGTTCATTCCAGTGACTGAGCGATGTCACTTCACTCCTGAGGGGCGGTCGGGTAGCCTAGTGGTTAAAACGTTTGCTCGTCACGCCGAAGACCCGGGATTCGATTCCCGACATGGGTACAATGTGTGAAGCCCATTTCTGGTGTCCCCGACCGTGATATTGCTGGAATATTGCTAAAAGCGGCGTAAAACCATACTCACTCACTCACTTCACTCACGCACTTCAGTGACCGAAGGTAGATGCTTTTTTCAGATTTTCCATTATTTGTAAATGTAATACTTATTAGCATGACTTTCATATGTAATCCACAGCTGATGACAGATCTTTAATAAAGTCAGTACATTTAAGTCTGTTGGCCCTCTACTCAACATTTCAAAACATTCCAAGCATTTACAAAAAAAATCTAAACAAAAACATCTTAAAATAGACCAAAAATAAAATCATTACGGACAGCTGCAACCTTGACTGTACTTATACAACACGCAGCCTCCAAGGCTAACTGTGTGACAGAACAAGTTGGGCAGTGAAAAAGTCTCTTGTCTTGTTCAATACAAATTTAGTAGTCATGTCAATGAAGTTAGAGTATTCACTTTTGACCTACACTGCCAATCAAGTCTCTGTCGCAGGAGCCACAAGGAGAAACACTGCTCAATTCCCCCCAGACCAATTTTCTCTAATACATGCCCTAGGACAAGTTGTATTGACAGGTAACAGTCTGGTCAGTTATTTGAATAGTTAAATTAATCCATCAGCCAGACAATACATCATCTACCGAGCAAATAAAACATAGCCGAAATAATTGATGGTTGCTGTTATCAGCTGCTCACAGATTATACAAGCAAACGGAAACAGTCCCAATGAAATGCAGACTTAATTTTTCATTGTAAAAGGGCGATGAAAAATATGTTATGAAAATGTGACTGACAGTAATATCAATTAGAGTTGTCAGTTGTTGTTCTATTGGTCTTCTGAGTGGTGGTTTAACATTGGCAGCTTTTCACATCATTGAGCCACCAGTCTAGCTCTAAAATACACAGTAGTTGGTTAGTTTGTTGTTTAACGCCGCACTCAGCAATATTCCAGCTATATGACGGCGGTCTGTAAATAATCGAGTCTGGACCAGACAATCCAGTGATTAATATCATGAGCATCAATCCACGCAATATTGGGATTGATGACATACATCAACCAAGTCAGCGAGCCTGACCACCCGATCCCGTTAGTCGCCTTTTACGACAAGCATAGTCACCTTTTACGGCAAGCATGGGTTGCTGAAGACCTATTCAACCCCGGAATCTTCACAGCAGAATACGCAGTACAAATACTTGGTATATATCACCTTACTTTTGGGTACAAGAAAACTATGAATAACCTAATGTTAAAAGGTACTATTGAGATAAGGATGATTGTTTGGAATAATGATAAATGATTGGAAATATCAATTATTTATAACCGACATAGCGATTACAACACAAATGTCTGTCAGATACTTTTATCTTATGAGTTCTTTCAATATGTATCGATACATGTTGAAAACACGCTATAAGATAAATGCTATACAATAAGCCTGAATGCAGTAATCTGCTTCTTACACAGCCTCGCATCTTTTTAGCAATGAGCAAGTGTATATTTTGTCTATTCTCATTACCTCAGTGTGATGTAATAAAAACACAATGGTCATGAATAATGTCATCCAGATAACTACTTACTATTTATATACCTAGTGTGACTCTCCACACAAAAATTCAAGTATGTTTGTGGATTGTCAAGACGATGATGATAATACAAACTAGGTAAGATCAAAGAATGGTCATTAAACAGTCTAAACACATAAAGTTTCAACACAGATGTAGGTAAATTTGACTGTAGAACAAGAAACTTATTAATGAATTACAATCAGTGACGCATTACCATGGAGTAGCCAATCACAGCCCTGGAATTTGATCTCACACGTTTATTACCAATTATCTCAAATGTGTTTCTTAGCCACAGGTGAGTAAGAAAAGGTCATCTACATTCAGCCTCCTTTGTTAAAAAAGGTTTAGATTATAATTGATTGATCAACTGAATTTTTTAGTCTACATCTCCCCAAAATCATCCCATAAATTATCCGCAACAACCTTGACATGGTTTACTGCAAGCTTTCTGACAAAATCAGATTTTATCTTCATCCTTGATCACAGCTAGAAATGGCTCAATTCAAATACTGTAAGTAATATATCCATACAGAGACCATATACCGATATATACAGGTATATAATGTTAAAGGGCCATAGAGAGCATTGTACAAACCTGTCTGGCAGACATCTCCATTGAAGCCTGTAGATCTACAGTCACAGACAAATCTGTTCCAGCCTTCCAGACACTGTCCTCGGTGCATGCATGGGTGACTTGCACATTGAGGCTCCATACGGTGGCAGTATTCAGCAATTCCCTGTGCACGCTGAGCTCTTGCCGTGGCAACCAGGTCAACTTTGTTACCATTGACAACCAAATCTTGAAGACATCCAACAAAGCCATGCCGAAGCATCCCCGCCCACATGGAATGTGGCAGCTTGGATGTGTCATGTTTTTTACTTATTCCACCCAAGAAGAATATTCCTGACAAGTTCAAATCAACATCCTTCCCATCAGTGTAATAGGACTCCTTCTGTCCGTCAAGGGTAATGTACCCTTGTGGACCCTGATAGTCAATGTAAACTTCATGCGGATTGCCATCACTGACTGGATGCCGACTGGCCTTGACCTTCTTTGATCCTTCTCCAAGGTCAACAATCATGTACAAATGACCATCCAGCATCTCTACAGCAAAGAAGTCTGCATGTCCATCAGGGCCAGGATTGAACATGATGACGCCACTGGGTTCTGTTGTCTGGAACTGGAAGGCAATGGAGCCTCTCCTATCCCTGACATCCCATGTGGGGAGTGTGAGGAATGAGTTGGGGGTTGCGAAGGTGATGGGATGGGATTCCACCAGCTCCTGACACTTGTTGAAGATGACACCACCATGGACTGTTATCAGACCATGATCTGTTTTGGCCAGTTCTGTAAGGTCAAGGTCGATGGTGTCTGCCTTGTATCGTACCTGAAGAAAACAAGACAAGTTTTTTCATTGAAAATATTTAAATTTACAAAATACTTAAATACCATTTGAACAAAACTTGAGTCCCAATTGGACCAGGCTTATTTACAGTACACAGGATGTATCCATAAAACAATCTGCTCAATTTCAATTGTTCTAATAAAATCAATAAAAGATAAAAATGAATTTACATGAATACCACACACATTGGTTACTATGGTATAAAACTGGCATTATTACTGAATGCCATGGTGTCTTTAATTTGTATTATAGTTTGTAATGTAGGGACAAACATGACATAAAGAATGAAAATGTTCACTAAGACACAACATATGTGGTATAGGTGAGCTTAAACATGATCCTTCATTTTCAAGTTTTGAGTCAACTATTGTGAATTATCCTTATGTTTGAATTAAATGGTTCTGATTATTCCTTGCAGTGGTATTCTTCTTTAGAGACAACATATGAAAAGATCTGTCTGAACACATCTAACTAGAAGATCTGACATGTCAGGCTGCCATCTTGATTGGGGAATACTGCGGGCAATCTCTTTAGTGTTCCCTGTGTCCTCCTATTCATCATCTATCAGACTGTCAAACATGGATCCCACAATTTTCTGACATCTTTAAGCTAATTTTTTTTTTCAAGCTAAAAATCTTGTCTTCAAAACATACTTTATCCAAGGTAAAGCATGAGCACATCTATTAAAATGTCAAATCTGTTGTTATTTTTTCAAAATTTTGCGTCACTGATGCATCAAATTTGGAAATGCCCTCCACATGTCTACCATAAAATTCTTTTGAAAGCCTAAGATCTTGAATGCTGTAACCATGATCTCTTAAGAAATTAGTTGTATGGTGCTTGTAACTCAAAGGTTGTGGAATGTAGACACCAAAAGCTGGAGCTGCTGCATTACTGCTCGATATACAAGGAAAAGAATAATATCATTTGTGGTTCCAAAATACACTTGAGGATCTGATCAACTTTGTCACTTATCAGTTGAACCATTAGAAATCATTAGTTAACTTAGACATAATGAAGCACACCAACATGGCATAAAATCTTGTATTAAGTCTGTATTCATACCCAAGCTCTCATTAATACTAGATAATGGTATTACATTGTAATCCCAAAGTAGCCAACATTTTCTAACCATGCAACTTCTTTCCTCCTCTGAACCCAGGCATAAGACAGGAATTTGTTTCATACCAGTAACGGTTTATCAACAATGCAATAAACTTCGTTTTCTTCCTACCGTCATCCTGATCTTCAAACATTTTCTTTCTCTAAGATGAATAAATCACAATTATTCTCCAGCAGTCACATGACCAACAATTATATTTTTCCTGTCAAATTATCAATGGCAGCTCTTACTTGTAATTGATAATCTTGAGGGTACTGTAAACTGCATCAGCAAAGCTTTTGTTGCAGGATCAGACGGAAATTTACCAGTTTTAATCATCTTCACTTGAAAGGTCTTGTCATATTAATTTCCCTCAATAATATCACATAAATGGTCTGACAATTACACTACATCCCATTAGCTTCATGAGCTTCCTTCTGGCCTATGCTTGATGTCAGTAATGAACAATTACTTCTTCTATCTCAAGAGCAAATCCAATGAGAAGGAAACAATAAGTTTTGGATTATAGTTCATGGCTACTTAGCTGCCAGAACCAATCCCGTCACCTTGCAGCCTCTCTGTCAACAAACAATAACTGGCTTCTGTTTCAGGATAAAACTATGTACTCTCTGACCTTGTCCCAGGGTTATCTGCAGGCTGACAAGTGAGGGTTTTGTGATGCAGAACTATGTCAAGATAAATCAACAGGGCAGTGGATTTAATATTGAAAAAAAGAGAGTTTCTTTATATGATTTTTAAAGTATTCAAAACTTACTTAGGGAGTCTTAATGACATTGAGGTACCGATGCTGGACATGATTTTTGGAAAATTTCTGAAAATGCGAATCCACATAAAACAATGTCTTGTAAAAGTGTGCTGTTTATATTCATATGTTACTCATTGTACAACTTGCCTTATGTTTAGTTCCAATCAAAACAATGTCGTTTATAATTCTTATGAAACTTCTACCTCTATTACATATCTGCAATAAATCATGTATTTTGGCTTCAATCACACTAACTAAAATTTTCAGATTTTCAACAGACGTCCTCTTCACTGTCAATTAATCACAATTAATTGCTGCCAGGTAGTATTCTTAGAATTATTAACAATGATAACTATTGTTTGATGTTCCCACCAATCGTCATACTACAACAAGAAATATGTTTTCTCCAGGACCTGTTTGTAACTGAGGATAATACACACAATAAACAGAATAAACTTGAAGACTACCATATTTTTCCTGGCTTACTTTTATCTAACTCCTCTCAAATGGATTTCAACAATATTCATACAAACATGAGGCTGTCCAACAACTTCAATTTGCAATAAACATAAATGTTTTTAAGCTGTGCTGTAAATTCCACATTCTTTCATATGCAACAGACATTAATAATTTCCAGCTGTGCTGTTTTCACATTCTTCCATTTGTAATAAACATTAATGTTTTCAAGCAGTGTTGTTTTGACAATGTTATCACTCAGTGTATGTAACTAATCACTGAAATTCTGCAGATCCATGAGTTGTTTTTTTATTATTCAATAACGTTTTAAAAGCTAAAGTTAATGTTTAAACTGTTGACTTTGAAGTATATTTCAAGAAGCATGAATAGAAATCATTAATTCTTTAAAGGATCTTGACTTATTTCACCTTTCAGGAGGGTTTTCATCCCTCTCATCCCAAGCATTACTGTTTCAACTAGTTCCACATGAATGAACCCATTAGAATCTAAGTATCACATGTTATAATATCCAGTAGCAAGGAGTGCTCAGAACAGTTTGCTCACCGAAAACATCAACTGAAGGGTAATCTTCATGGTCTGGTAGCATTGTGAAATCTTTGTCTAGACTGTTTAATGAGTGTCCTCTTTTGGTAGCTGGGATTGATGTGGGTGTAATGTTATTACCAGTTTGAACTAGATTATTAAACTCAAGTTTACAGATGAGAAAGTTTTGGATGACCAAGTCGATTAGATAGTCCTGACTTTTTGGGTGAATACAGGTTCTCCATAGCTAGGTCAGCTAATCAGTGAATGGCCCAATGTGTCATCGACAGTAAGGCATGGGCAAGTTGTGCACATCTTAATTGGTTTTCTTGGTAAAGATATATCCTGCATTGTGAACATGATTTTCTGGGCAGAGATAGACCCTTAAATATTGGTCTTCCAGACAGACAGACCCAGTACATCTTACAAATCTAGGTACAGATAGACCCCACATATGACTTAATCTTCCAGGCAGAGACACACCCAGAACTTCTTGGGTCTTCAAAGCAGATATAGACTCTGTATGTCTTGATCTTCAAGGCAGAGACACAGACAGTACATTTTGGCCTTCAGAGATACAGAGATAGGCCCAGAACATCTTGGTCTTCAACACAGAGACACATCCAGTACATCTAGGGCTTCAAAGCATTGACAGACCCCATACATCTTGGTCTTCAAGGGGTGAAATTGGGTTTAACGTCGCGTCCAAGATTATTGCACTTATATAGCGACGTGCATGCACGTGTGTGTGTGTGGCTGCTTGTATTTGTCCTGACTGATGCCGGTTTATAGTGCTAGCCCACTGAGATACAATGCCGCAGTTTAACATGAATACCCCACTCAGACACAGTATACTGACTCCGAGCCGACCAGTCCTTGTTTTAGCCCCTTAATGCCGAGCGCCAGACAGGGTAACAACAAGTACCATCTTTTAACGTCTTTTGGTATGACGCGGACGGGGATCGAACCCCGGACCTTCCGCTGTTCGGGCGGATGCTCTACCACTAGACCACGGAGGCGGTCTTGATCTTCAAGGCAGAGACACACCCAGTACACCTTGGTCTTCTATGCAGAGGAATGTCTAGGTCCTGCCAAATTTGGTCAGCAAGACAGATAGATCGTGCATTTCTTGGTCTTCTAAAACATATCTATTAGTGCTTATTTCTAACTAAACTGGTTTCATGCTTGTCCTTGATATTCTTTGTTCATAGTTAACTGTGGAATAGCAGGACCATGGAATTTGTTTTTCTAACCAATTACCCTGGCATATGCTGTTATAAATACATATACTGACCTTCCGCATACATCCCTTGAAGTTCTGGGTGACCCTTGAACCAACCAGCGTGGCAGTGTTGGGGCTCCCTCCAACATATAGGAGACTGCTGGACAATAAGGTGAACTGGCCAGTTGTGCTGCCGGACTTTCTATGGACACCATCCACTTCAACTGATATCTTATAAGCAAAACAGATTTGAGTGAAAATTGGGTTAATATAATTCCATGATTTCCTAAAATTGCAGTTTTAACCATAATAGCATTAGACATCATTTTGTTGCATGATCTTAACCTTCTTGATTCTTTTGCATTCAAATTTCAGTACCAGTAATTCCTTGTAGAATTGTTTCTGCAAGTTCAACAATTGAATTTTGATTGATAATATCTTACTTGAGTCATTTAGCTTTAGAGCCCAAGAAATGTTTATTTCTTTCAAATATTGACTAAAAACAACATAATATGGAACCATGTTCTAAAAGAACATCCCTCTCCAGAAATCATTTCAGGAAGATGTGTATATACCGCCTTAGAAAATGGTACCATATAACAATGATGTATGAAGATGATTCCTAAGATGATAATTCCTTTATTGCATCTGAATGAGAAGAGCTAAGTTCCTGCTACATTTTAGCTGCTCCTGTTATCATTCATGTGTGGAAATACGCTATCATGATTATATTATTTTCTAATATTTTTTTTTTTTACAAGTATTTTGATAGCTGAATATGTCAAAGTAACAATTTACTGGGGGAAAATGAAAATCAAGTGCAACTGTTATCTTATTTATACATAACTTATAGCTTGGAATTATGGTGATGAATTCACAACATAAACACATGCAATAAACATGCCTCATTCTGACATGCAAATGAAAAAAGTGCCCGATTTTCTCATGCAATAACCATGAAAACAAATACCCAGTTGAAATAATAGAATAGATCAATATCCCCGATCAATAGACTATAACCATTAAACTGTCCCGAAAAAATTGTAATAGGACCTGATGAAAGTTTTGAAAGTCCAACTATTAGACAGTAAATTTGAAAGGTGGACACCACTGAAGTCAATGTTCATAGGAAGTTTTGAAGACTGTGTGTCCATGCAAACACAAGTGTAATTGACATTGTCAAACACTCTCAGATAGGTATTTCATGTTTCTTGAGATCATTTACAAGAATTTAAGACCCAAAATAGTTCAAAGAAATATTTCTTCAACACTATCATTACATTTGAAGAACAAAAATGTTCATCATCATTCATTAATTTGCAATCAAACAAATTGCAATAGAAATTGTTGAAACTGAGTATGACTTTGTCTGATCAGATAACATTGATAATAACAAAACTTTAAACCTGACACATACAATATCACAATTTAGATACACATATATCTAATCTTATTCGTCTTTCCTGCAATATCATTTTAGGATATTTTTAATATTCTCACAATATATTTGCCTATGATATCATGACAGACAACATTTCTCCATGCATAAGTTATATAGCTCACAATGTTTGATATTCTTATCAATGTCAATCCATGTAAATGTCTCTCAAAAAGAGAACTTTGTATGAAACATATCCACTCTTTATGATATAGCAGATAAATGATACTTATTCAAATATTTCTTTCCAAATTTAATACAGAAACAAATTTAAATTTTAAATCAAGGAACATACGTCCAATTTGCTTATTTATACTCCATGCAACAATATGTAACCTTCTACACAACGTAGACACATCTATGTAGTATTGTTTGAGAAGGCAATCACTGTCAGCCGAATGAAATGCACAACATTGACTGACAGCAATAGACTAAGACATAGATGACAACACTGCTGTTGAGTATGAGGTATTATCACCGGAAGCATGAAGAGTCATCTACTTAACACATGGCAAGCTCGCCAACAAAAATACAATCCTCCTTTAGATAACAGTGGACATTGCTACACACAAGTAGCCATTTGTGGACAAAACAGGACAAAACAATGGCTCAAAATAAATGGTAGTCAACATAAATAGAAAGGAGGAGAAAGGAGGCAGGAAATTTTAGAGAGGTCAACTGATGTTTCCTAACATTAGAGGCCATGATTCATTGATAGTACTGACCAAAACATGTCCCTGTACTACAATTGTGTCTCGGAAAGAAGAAATCGAGTACATGAAGCAACTACTGCTGTGCAAATATTTTACTGCCATCAAACAGCGATCGTAGCGCTAAGACGATAGTAACTCCCATACTTTAACATAGACTACGATAGCTTTGTGGAACGGGACTCAGGGCCTTGACCTTACGATCATAGCGCTACGACTATCGTAAGTCTAGGTTGAAGTATGTGAGTTATGATCACCTTAGCGCTAAGATGGCTTTGTGGAACGGGGCCCTGGGCCTTGTTCCTCGCGATCATAGCACTATGACTATTGTAAGTCTATGTTAAAGTATGGTAGTTACGATCACCTTAGTGCTAAGATCGCTTTGAGGAACGGGGCCCTGATTGCCTTAACTGATGTGAATAGAGGTTATCTGAGATGGTAACATATCCATAACTTTCTTTACATGAGGTTATCTCACTAAATCTTGCAGTTTATCAGTGAAAGTGACAAAGACTCAGTAGCAAGAACTTTACCGTGTTTGTGCAATACTCATACTGGCATCCATTAAAATCCCTTCTCTATCAACCACCATATACAGATAATGGCATGTCATTTAACACAAAAGAATATAAAAATGAGTGAGTGAGTGAGTGAGTGAGTGAGTATGGTTTTACGCTGCTTTTAGCAATATTCCAGCAATATCACGGCTGGGGACACCAGAAATGGGCTTCACACATGTCGGGAATCGAACCCGGGTCTTCAGCGTGACGAGCGAACGCTTTAACCACTAGGCTACCCAACCGCCCCTATAAAAATGATATCTCCTATCATTGCGTGGAGACATGTATAACCTGTCCTTGGCAAATTACACCCACCATGAAGGCAGAGTGCACGTATACAGCATGTAGCTGTTACAGTCTAGACAGGTTCTTCACTCAATTTCAGTCATCAGTAGACCGCCTCCGTGGTCTAGTGGTAGAGCGTCCGCCCGGAGAGCGGAAGGTCCTGGGTTCGATCCCCGGCCGCGTCATACCAAATGACGTTAAAAGATGGTACTTGTTGTTACCCTGTCTGGCGCTCGGCATTAAGGGCCTAAAACAAGGACTGGTTGGCTCGGAGTCAGTATACTGTGTCTGAGTGGGGTATTCATGTTAAACTGCGGCATGGTATCTCAGTGGGCTAGCACTATAAATCGGCATCAGTCCGGACTAGTACAAGCAGCCACACACACACGTGCATGCACGTCGCTATATAAGGGCAATAACGCGATGTTAAGCCCAATTTCACCTCAGTCAGCAGTAAGTCTGGAAGCACAGAACCTTAGTAAGTATTGAATCAATTCAACAGGATATGATGAAATGAATTTTTAAGGCCGTATTTTTCATAATCAATTATTCAGCTGGATGTAGGGAATTTAAGACAATCCACAACATACACAATGAAGATCCTTTGACTTTCAGTTGTAATGGACCTGTCTAAAACTGCTGTGTTAAGTTGGATTGTTGCAAGTGCAGACGATTCTAAACTGATTACAACCAGAATCACCTAGGTAGACATGAAAGATCATCAATGTTTGCATAATCAATCTAGGATTGTCATTCATGTACCATGTATAAAACAAATCTGTCTGAAACCATCTCATCTCTGAACATGTTTCACGTGGAGTCCGCGACTTCAGTGACCCTACACCTAGCTCCCATTCGTTTTATCATAATATGGATATCATGACAAACATCCATCAACCAGTGTTGGGTGTCCCAAGAGAGTGGTCATGTCACTCTACACTTCCTATACATTTGTACATCACTGCTGACTGTGCAATCCATAAACTGAAGCTAATTTATCTTAAGACCCTGTCAACAGCACACATAAATCATTACATACACAGGATACGTTTATCCTTTCAAACAGATTTTAATCCTACAAGATCCATGGAATTTACTGATACAACACATTAATATAATGTGTATAGCCATTTCTGATGTTCCCAGCCGATGCAGCTGGGATATTGCTAATAGAGTAAAAAGATACTCACCCACTCACATTTATAAAATACATCTGTAATCCCCTCATATTTTACTAATTCATGTCCAGCAACTATTTGAATGTTTGCTTACATAGATGCAATCAGGCATGGACATTGATTGGAAATATGTTACCATGTGACTTTCACAAGCTGTAAGGCATATGATGAAATATAGCAACATGTGTCCGAAAATGTCTCCAACTATGACAAGGGGTGATTGAGTTACAGCAATAATGAGCCCATGGTTTGGATACAGCAATAAAGCTATAGGTAGTTAGTACTAAGTGCAAATATGTTACCATGTGATTTTCACATGCTGTAAGGCATATGATGAAATATGTCAACTTGTGTCCAAATATGTCTCCAACTATGACTATAAGCTGGCAGTCTTAACCAAGACCAAAATGACTTTATCACTCTGAATGTACATGTATCGCTGTGTTCTATATCTCTGACAGCGCTACTGTGTAGATACATCTTGTGTGTTTATACTGGCCTTTGTTTTGATGAAAAGGGGTGGAAATGAGAAAAGCATCCATTCACTATAGAAAGACTATTTTCACTGATTACCACTAATAAAACTAATAAAACAAAGGCAGAACACAACAAAAATGTAATAATGTTCTTCTTTTTGAGAGCAAAATCACATCTTTATGTTTTTTAATTACATTTTTATAATTAACCTAAAAGCACAGAGCTTCATAAACCTGCCAAGGGTGATTTAGGTACTCAATATCATACGCTGTCTCCAAACATCAAACAGTCCAACAAGTCAGGCTATCAGTACCATGAGTGATGAAATACCTACTAATTCATTCTGTTCATCGCTTACTTCTCACACTAATAGACTTATAGCAGTACTGCTTAGCATTGTAAGAAGATTAGGTATTACTCCTAGGTGGTACTGTAGGGTCATATTACAAATACTATCATAAATATATAATGCTTGTCTTTGAAGCTGGGAATAGCATTATTCACTGATTTGCTTAATGGAAAATAAATCAATTTTCAAGTTTCAATTCTTCCCATTTTGTCCTCAATCATTCAACTCTAGGCATTAATTCAATATTAACACTTGACATTTAGTTCACAGAAAATCAAACATAATTTTAAATACCAATATTTCAGTACCATCATCATACAGCAACTAGATGCCTTATCTGATTGCATCAATTCTAATCAAGGCCTGCTCACACTTATCAACAAGATGCTTGTCGTAAGAGGCGACTATCGGTGGTCAGACTTGCTGACTTGGTAAATGCATGTCATCGTATCCCAATTGCATGGATCGATGCTCATGATGTCAATAACTGGATTGTCTGGTCCAGACTGGATTATTTTCAGACCGCTGTCATATAGCTGGAATATTGCTGAGTGCAACAACAAACAAACAAACAACAAGATCAATGTTACATGGCCTGCTGATGTGACTGCAAATACTTCCAGCAGATACCATCAAACAAGAGTAATATCCACAAGAAAATGCGAAAAAATATTTTTTAGGTATATGCATATCATATTAATTAACACAAAATATGTAGGGACCAATATCATCATTTGGACACATATATACTACTCAAAAGAAGTTAAGGAGGATCCAATTTGTTTCATTTGACTATAGTTAATCTGTCATGTCATGGGTTTGTTCCTTAACTTTTTATGAGTAGTATAAATATGATTCAGAACCTTTCTATTTGTCCAATACCATTAATACTTAGTGTGTGATTGTTTCTTATAAGTGTACATATACTGCTTCTTGTCACGATATGGCTGAAATATTGCCGATGTGACGTAAAGCATTAACTCACTCACTCACTCACATATACTGCTTAGTATTACAAATCATAAGGGACGAATTATTTCTCTCCAGTAAGGCACGGGTGGCCCAGTCGTCTCAGGCACCGCGATTCGCTGTGCAGAGTTGTGTCCCTTGGGCATGCCAGAAACCTATGATTGTGGGTTCGAATCCCGGTTCGCCCCGATTATGTTTCTAGGTTTGTCAGCACCATACCCGTGCTCGTGGGTTTCACCGAAGTGGTAAACGTCTGAGACCTGCATCACTTCGGGCTTTCCTCCCACATTAAGCTGACATGCCGTGATATAACTGGAATACTGTTAAAAGCGGCGTAAAACCCAACTAACTCACTCTCTCCAGTAACATTTAGATTGCTCACTAGAAGATAAAAATATGCCAACTCTTTCAGCATTATTGATGGTTCTTTGTGTCCTATTATAATGTAACATTATGTTATCTAGGTATAGTAAACATGTCATCTCATGTTCCACTGTCTCTGCCTTTTAAAGATTACTGATAAAACATATCACATGTAAAGTATATTTTTCTCCTGCCTTCAAATTGTTGGACGAAGACTTTCAAAACTGAAGAAACTTGTTGCTTAAAGGGACAGGACGTCGACTGTTCTGAAGCTTTGTTTGCAAATAGTAGGCTTATCACGTGACTGGACTTTTCTCCTGTTTGTAAACAAACTCACTTATTCTGAAATAAGAACAGACGGGCCTAATGCAAGCCTTTCGCTGCACTATAAATATTGTTTTCAGTGTAGTAGTAAGTAGAGGTGACTATTGGTCTGGAAATCACTATTGCGATAACTATTGATATTGAAAGAAACTATTGCGATAACTATTGATATTGCAAGCAACTATTGCGATAAATATCGATAGTTTTCAGTGTATCATTTTAGATGGATTTTAGAGTTGGATTGATCCTTGGATCTAAAGTTTCCGATGAATGTGATAACCATAACAACAAATAGAAGTAAAGTTTGAGATATGACTTATTTGTTTTTTCTTTACCCTAATAATTTAAGAAAAAGAAACTTCCACATTACCATGTGTAAATTACTACCACTCATGATCAAAAGAAAAATAAATTTGTACAGCATTGCATGAATTTTATTGATATAGTTAATACAATTAAAACTATCAATATTCCTAACTGAAATCAATACTATTGATCGGAAACTGATTTAACAATCAAAAAGTTAAACATTTCATGACATATGTCTAATTATCTAAATGTAAAGACTCGTCCAGAATGACACCAATGCATAAGACATGAATGGACTGTCTAAGATGTGACGATGTGACAGAGGTCACAAGTCTGGCCGCAAGGATTTTGGGGTAGGAGACCAAGGCATATTTATATTGTTATCTAGGCTTTGATAAACACTGGCTTCTAATCAAATCAAGTTGCCAAATAGTATTTTTTGTAAGAAATAGTATTTTTTGTATTTTCTGTAGGAAAAACACACAAGCTTAGTTCTCTTTAATTTGCCTCTATTAAAAATCAAGACTGAAGTCAGTTTCATCTACACAGCGCCTGCATTGCCAGCTTAGCTGTTTGAAGCTCTGTTGTTTTGGTTTGATAATTGAATCGGGCATGTTCATGATATAAAAACCCAAACAGACCCATCAACGTACTGTCCCTTTTAAGATTTCTCACTTTTTTGTTAAACAAACAATTCAGCGTTCATCAGAGCAATAACAAACACACACACATCATTATATGAGTACAATAATCTTGAACACGACGTTAAATACCATTTCAACTGACCTCTTGCAAATTTCTGACACTAAAATCATGGCTAACTATGTACAGCATACAATCTTGGTACGGAAGAACATTATTACGAAGTAAGAGAATTTAAGGATGTAAACTTCTTTATTATGAGGAACACAACATTACATACTTACTCCTTCATCAGGTGAATGCTGTGAATGCTCATTCAGCTGATGAAGAACTAAGCATATACTCCGAAACTTTGTGTTCCTCATAATAAAGATGTTGGCAATCCAGAAATTCACTTCTTTATGTGTATCACTTCTAAATGCCATTCACAAACTTAAGATTATCACTATATGCTAAACAGAACTTTTGATTGTAGAATGACCTTATCAAGACACAAAGAGTTATCAGAGGGGATATTCAGCAAGAGAAGTCTCAACAAGCACGGTCAAAGACCAACAATTACAACATTCAACTAGTGTAGATTTCAGTTTCAAAATTGATTGATAACTTATCTTTAGTATTATATCAAAGTAAATAATACACTAAACAAATACGACCAATTGATATGCTGAATTAAGCATGTGGTTGCTGTTATGAATCAAAGTGTTATCTGATCTCTTATATCAAGTCCACATATGGACATTGGATTGTGCCTTACTTGCAGCTGTCCATAAAGTCTGTAGGTTAATTTGATTCTTGTCACAATATATACTGAGCATCATTATTGAGGGGTCACGAAGATAATAAGAGATAAAAGTATTCAAAAAATGTTGCATGTTCAACTTTCAAGAGTGTAGTTCAGTTACATTTGGAATGAACTATTTTATACCCACATTGACTGTTACTTGTCATGCATTGCACATGGGTAAACCACTGGTTGCATTCATGCGTGTGTTTTGGGTAGCTTTTTTTCATCACCTTCCGTCGTGCGCTTCTCGGGGATTTTAGTCACTGTCCATGTTTTCAGTTTCTAAAAGCATCCAATCAGTGTGACAAAGGCATAAATGACATGTTATTGAACTATCAATCACATTGTCAACATACTCAGACCTATTGACGCTTGTTGGCATTTGTTCATGTTGGACACCCTATATACAGAGGTGACCTACAGATTAAGATCCGGGTTAGAATTGGTTATCAGCAACCCACGCTTGTCGTAAGAATCAACTATGCTTGTCGTAAAAGGTGACTATCGGGATCAGGTGGTCCGGCTCACTGACTTGGTTGATGCATGTCATTGTATCCTAATTACATAGATAAATGCTCATGATGTCAATCACTGGATTGTCTGGTCCAGACTCGATTATTCACAGGCTGCTGTCATAGAGCTGGAATATTGCTGAGTGTGTCATTAAGCAACAAACAAACAAAGAAAACCTAGGTGACCCTTCAATAATGACACTGAGTACACATGAATCCTTTCATAATTTCATAAGAAACCATAAAAACCCATTTCTTGTACTCCATACAAGTACCAGTGAATGAACCTGATTTATGTTTTTATTTCTAATTTCAAAATCAGTTTGTTCACATCCTGTGTTGATCTTCAATGTCTTGATTTGTACCATGTCTGAGTTAACAGTGTTCTGCTAGTTATTTCCAAGATAAAATCATAAAAGGGTCATAAACTAAAATTAACAAATACTGTCATAAAAGTGACCATAATTTCAGGTACACAATATTAGAACATTTAATTCTGATACTGTTTGAGCAGGAATTTCCATTAGTAATTTTTTACCTACTTTTTGATTCATCAGCATTTTGAAAAAAAATAATTTCATTTATGACTTCTAAACAAGTAAATTAAGACAATGCACTGTATAGACTGAAACATATTGAGTCAACAGACTTTTTAATGTTTTCATTTACCAATGCAAAAGTTGTACAGATTCCACCAAGTAAATGTTTTTCAAAAGTGTTTATGTAAAAAAAACCATAAATTTATTTATCAATTTAAATTATTGCCACCAAAAGCACATTTAAAGTCTTATTTGAAAAGATGTTTTCACAATATCATAGCTGCATGAAACATCCAAACTAAAGTAGGCATCAGTAAGCAAAGCTGATAACTTCAGACTTGAGAGGGTTTTTTCCATTGAATTCAACTTTGTGTTTCACTTATGACCACTGATAAATTCATACATCTCAGTTTATTTCAAACATATCAATATGTTAAACAATCTTGCAATTTGCTTTTTGGTATGTTTTTGTCAAAAAGCTGAAATAAAAAAAATCACATTGCGTTAATCCATAAAACATTTAACAAGAAACATGATACAATTATTCAACATTTCCCAAAGGCCACAAATTCCTTGAAATGTATGTGATACTTGCAGTTGTTGACGATGTCAATCTCAACAAGACAAACCCCCATAAACCAGCACAATATATAGAGAATAGTTGTTGATTACAATAGGAGGGTTAAACATACAGGACAAGGCGGGTGAAGAGGGGGCTATACCTATCTACTAGCATGCCCGGGACATGCAAAATTACTTACAAAGCAAACCCCTTTGTCCCTAGTAAGCTGATATTACAAAATTGGAAAAAAAAAGATTGCAACAAATAAAGACAAATTATGAAAATCATGTGACAAATTGTTAACATATCACTCTCTGTGCATACTATGGTATTAGCTTGCCTGTGTCAAAAACTCTTCATGGAAATGATCTAAAAACTTGGTTCATTTCAAGAAAAATTGATCACATTCGAAAACTTGCACATCATTCTAAAATAAAAATGTCAAACCAATTCTTACATTCTGCTAACATTCCATGCAGGCAAATAAACATATTCTGGCGACTACGGGAGTCTGATTTTACCATCAGGGTTTAAATCCCGTTTACGGGAACAACCAAGTTCCATTTCAAAACAAAGAGAACAAACTATCTCATTCAACAAAGTGTAAACATTCTAAGTGTATATAATCAATTTCTTCAAAACAATATCTCCATGCGCTGTTATTCATTTAACTAAGGAGGTGCAGGTTTGTGCAATAGGCATATATAATATAGGGTAGTATAAATGTATCACTGGACTGGAGTATATAGATAATAGATCATTGACACTGTGGGATTGTGAATGTCAGCATTACCTCCCTTGCTTCTCTTCTGACCACAAGGTGGTGCCAGCGGCCATCATCAAAACGCACATGACTTGGTCGGACCTCGGCTTCATAAGCCCCTGAGCCCAGATTGATTGTAACAATTATTCCGCCATCTCTTACTGCTACATTCAAGTAATCTTTAAGATCACCTGAAAAACAAATCAAGTAATTGAAATTTGGATAACCTTTTCACAAGATTTTGATACCATTGCCCTAGGGTGAAACTGCTGCTAATCCCAAATTATGAATTGCTGAATGAAATCTCGTTATTTATTTCTGCATCACTCTAAAGCCTTTTTGTTGTTTCCAATTTCATTACTAAACACAGAAACAAATTAAGTTTAAATGTCAAGTTAGGAGGTATCAATCACATTGGTATTTAGTTGTAATGACACAAGAAAATCTTAATACCATGTTTGAGAAATTCTAAAACAAAAAGCGTCAGAAACACAGCCATTAGAGCTGGCTTCCTTGTAGCTTAAGGAACTGACATCAAAAGAAAATTAAGGTCAAAAGAAGAAATTAGGATTTATTAATATGTTGTAGATTCTTGTTTATCATAAGTGCATATATGCAGTGTGAATTACTGTTTCTAGAGCGCTGTTTGTCCATCAGACTAGTTCTGACTGACTCTGGCCAGAGTACCAAAGTAATGCTTCTTCCAAGGATCCAAATCAATGGGTTACTACAAGTGCCTCAGGCCCCCATACACATTTAAGGCCTCATTCCAAAAAGCAATCTTAGTTACTGAAGTCTGTGTCATAGTTTGGGAGATACGACCCTTGTAACACTAAGATGGCCTTGTGGAATACGTTCTAGGTATTTATGTATTCATTAAGTGTTACACAAGCTAATGTCAATAGAAAACCTATTTCAACAACAAATTTCAGAAATAACCATATGTGAAGTTACAGTTTTTCTAAAACTAACTCCATGCAGTTAAGATGAGAACACAGTTGAGTCTTTTATCTACCTCCTATTTCTCTGAGTAATACTTGAAATTGTTTCACTAGTTGTTAGGGTCACATGGTGTTAACACATGTCACTGATGAATAAGTTGTCAGAACACAGAGACAAAATGAGGCCTTAAAGACTATCAAAATGTTACTTACCTGTGAAAAACAGTATTCCATTGACTTGTTTTGTCCTAAAATCCAACTTCAATTCATCACTGTTGCTGACAATAGGGTCACCTCTACTAATAAGCTCGTAACTAAAATACTGCGCTCCAAGGAATGTGGCATCCGATGGAATCTTCTCTGAAAAAATAAATTCCTAAATATATCACAGTTGTATAAAATCTGGACTTCAAATGCCAACCTCATTATTCATTGGGGGAAAAAGAATCAATCTTGTTAAAAGCTACAAAGCTATAATAATGAATTCCTAAGAGGTTTACATACATGAAGGCACCTCCATCTGTCATTTTATTTTGTATATTACTAATATATTAGTTTCAACTTTTACAGACAATACATAATGAAATCTCAAATAATATACAATATCAAAAAAGAGATATGCCAGCTGCGTCCCTCACCAAATCAGGGCCTTATTTGGTAACTATAGCTACAAGACCTTATTCTTTATGTTTTCTGTCTACAAAAGAAGTTAAAGAACATCCGATTCTTTCATTTCATCCGATTCACATAATTATCATGTCATGCCATGACATGACAGATTATCTAAAGTAACATAAAAGAAGCGGGAGTTCTTTAACTTCTTTTGAGTAGTATACATTAATTTCTTCTTGTGTCAACATTTATTCCACTGGATAGTCAAAGGCTTATGTCAGAACCAGTTTTACACATAATCAAGGCTCAAAGCTGTTACCTTGAAATATATAGGACAATGCTTGGTCATAAATAAGGAAACATAATCTACAGTTTGTCATCACCATGGTTACGCACATATTTCCATGAACACACAATGAGTGAATGTCTGATATCGACATGTCTAAGTATCTGAGAATAATAACCTACCATTACTCCACATGATTCATCAAGGCATCCTGTTATTAATGTGGTGTGTCATACATAGCATATAGATCAGGATAATTACTAAGATCAGTGTCATTAGCGTCATCACAGAGTTATTATTAGTGAACAACGTCAGTAACAACTAGCTTTCTAAGAGAGGAACATACTCAACAGCACAAGAGACCATATACCAATATACACACATATGGTCTTGTCAGTACTTGGAAATTACCTGTCAGTTAGTATTTTGTCTTAGTCTCATTCTTGTAGAAGCCAAAAATAATATTATCTGAAGCTTGTTGATGTGTCTGTTTGGCATGCATAAACATAACTGATTATGGAGAAATGAGCCTCTCACGGTTGGACAAGAAATAAAAAGTCAGACTTCTAATTCTTGCTTTGAATTCATACACATTGTAAGAGAAGATAATGACTAGTGAACCTTGAGTGGCATACTGTATATATAACTGAATAGCAGCAATATTATTGCATTGATTTTACCAACTAACAGAGGATAGTTTCAGCCTTTCTAAACTAATGTATGTTGATATTTTGGGAAGAATGGCCTATAAAACAAATTTAGCATAAATCTTAAGCAACTGAAAACACCATTTTGAAGACCTAAGTTCATTTCAAATAATTATCTGATTATTCAAATCCTTGCAATTATCTTTGACAAAAAACATTTCCACAAATTCAATTTTGTTAGCCAAAACTCTTAAGCTGCTTAAGGAATTCTAAAGTAGCACCCAAAGGCATTAGCAAGTCTTTTTATCTTAGAAATCAAACAAAGACTTCAAAACCTAGCTTGGCAACAACTCTTGACTACACTAACATTATCTGATTGGTCACGCCAGCCTCAAACGTACATAAACACAATCCCTGGTACCTTCATCCCGAAGCATGTATTGGAATTTTCATTCAATTTTCATTTGATACAACAACTGCAAAAGCTTTCTGGTCAATATTGTCTTAAGCTTTTTAATATTGTACAAGCAGGAGTAAATTCTACGATCAATACCCGACAATAAGTTGTCATTAGAAAACCACGTTTACTGATGTGTTATTGGTTGGTAGCAAGTGATTTGACCTTAAGGCCTGTAATTAAACAGTTTTGTTAAGAACCCTTCATACTGTCGTGACATGGCTATCTGTTTCCGTAACTTTTCTACTTAAAGATTGCCATGGGAACAAAAATGTCCTCAAAAAGAATTTTAGTCTCCATCTTGAAATACACATTAGGATGAGACTCTTTTTGGAACAAGCGATGTGTATCTTCTGTATTATCTGCATCAACCCTGCATGCATCTCATCCTTCAAGTAAGACAAAACTTTTTCTGACGATGAGTGGCAATAGTTTAGGACAAATGCCCCCAAACTACATATGAAAAATGTCTCAATAGTACAATTAATACCTGTGCCATTTTCATATCAACATAATCAAAAGCCCATACAGTGGTGAAGGGAGCTAAGCAATTTCATTGTGGAACCATCGACTATGATTATAGGCACTGATCACCAAACATTACTGAAGGCAGTGTCCCAATCAGCGAACTGATGTAACTGGGAGTGTGGTCTTCCCACGGCTCGTGGAGCAATTCCAACATGGGATCAGCGGTAGTGAAACAGTATTGATTTCCCATGCATCACCCCACTCCCTCCATCTTTCCTCTCCACACTGAACAGATTCTGCAAGCAACGAGTGCCATAACAACACCAAGATCAATGTGGTTTGAATATTACAGCCTGCGCTTCACAACGTACACGGATGATTTTTACAATTTTCGTAATGATGCAAGCAAGGTTAATGACAGAATCGTTCCCACATATAATAAAACATGAGCCAGCAACGACCTTGACATTTGTGAAGGCCCTTGTGGTATTTCTGGCTCAGAAAACCATTTTGAGGCGCTGCCATAGTGCTATCTGACTTTGGACTGGGTTTAGGCAAACATGAACATATACCCCAAGGCTTTCCAGACTCCAGCCTGCAAATACTGCCATGTTTGGTAATCTTGGAAGTAACAGATGGTCATATTCATATGGTTTCAGCAACTTTTATCACTCATACAAGTACCTCTAGACACCTTTATCTCTTTAAGCCAACACCTCAGAGTAATGCCTATGTCAATACAGGCAATGCTTAATGTAACCAAAATAGTTCAACTTAAGGACTTAAAGGAAATCTCTGCTTTAAGTCAGGTTTCTGCACAGATGTCAAACATGATCTCTCATTTCAAATTTACTCTCTGTTAATTGCTTTGACAGTTGGTAATAGCAGAATATGTGAAAAATCCATTTAGCAGTCAATAAAGACACTTTTTCATTGAAGGACTACTTTCATGTCTGCAGACTACCATGTGCCCAACGTATGCATAGTCTGTATAACCACATTTAACTAAGTAACCAAGTCCTTTGGCAACATTCCAGATTTATTGTCAGCTAAATCATATCTTCTTTTCAAAAATCTTCAAGGAAATGAATGCAAAAGTCAAGTCAAGAATCAATAATGTGCTCCCTTGTCTTAATAATTGTCAACAAACAGCAACTAGTACACCTCATAACATGAACATTATTTTTCAGGTAAACAATTGACTTGCCTTTGCATGTGTTTGTGACTGTGCCACTGGGGGATAGGATACATGCACCTGGTATCATCGTTATTAGATAGTGATTCATAAACACACACTCATGATGCAGTCGGAATCATCAAATCAACTCTGCTTGTAGCAAAGATTCCTTTCGACTATGGAAAGGGTTTTGTCACTTTTATTATTATATCTAATACTGCTTGAGAACTATGAAATGTGTTTCTACAGAACTTGTTTCTTCCAAACAGCATCAGTCATGACCCTACAACCCCAGTAAGGATAATCTTTATGAAATAATACATATTGTGTAGGGTCTTGTTCCTTCTTCAATCCTCTTTTGCATCATCTTAACACCTTTAGACCACAAATCATCAAAGGAATGACTGTGATGAATTGACACTGAGAAGCTATAGCAGTGATGAAGATAAGTCGAAAGTCTACTCAGTATCTCTCAATGTCATGGGTCCAACTTAAGATTTTGTTTGTAAAGACTGAAGTTTTTCTTCCAGTATCTATAAAAACTTCCCCGATACAAATTGTTCCAGTCAGCATGAACTGAATGACCCATCAACAATTACAAATTGTATCTTCTCTTTCAATAAAGCTTTGAATCAACAAAGCTCTGAAGAACCACTGCTGGCTTCTCATCACACCTTAAGAGCTAGCCATCAATCTGAGACACATAATCACTTTATCAGACAAGGATTCCAACCGTTTCAGCATATGCACTCAAATACGATGGGCATTTAAACACAGGTTGGAAACGTCTAAATCATCATATTCTATTCTCCCAGGGCATATGACTGAGAGAAGTTATTATCAGATATTGATTAGCTGACCTGCGTGTCACCTCTGTGTTGAGTGCGATTTGCAGTTTACACCTACGGAACCACCTTGGGCATTGTTATATGATCTCAGAACATGATGATGACGCTTCTGTCATAACATTGGACATAAAATGTTTTTAGAAACTTCAAAGGATCCACACTAAATCCTCTGCAAAAATATCTGTTTTGAAAGCCTCTAAATGCCAAAAAGTGATGTCAACAAGCAATATCACACAGTCTCCATAGAACCCTACGACAATTCATTGATATGAATAGAAATAGATGTTACTGAACTTAAAATCCAGCCTGTCTTACGGCACTTCATGGACTGAAATCTTATTGATATTTCCTTTCTCCTTTCAACCCTAAAAACAAGACAATGTAGGCTATCTACAAACTTGATTTTCTATTATGAATTGGCAGCTTGATGGTGCTGGGATGCTGCAAAGTAATAAAACTCCACCAATCACACACAAAAAGATTGCAGATTAAACTTGAAATTCATTTTACAAATTCAAATAGAAACCAGTTCCCTCCCCCTTGTATAATGAAGACACCTAGCACATTGCATGCAGACTCCCAACTGAAAATAGTGTCTGTGTTGAATGAATCAATACAATGTAATGCTTATGAAATGAAGCTCAAAGGATGCATCTTAGAAACTCTGCCAAATGTCACCAAACTATTGAACCCTATCTTCCAAGATGACGACAGGAGTCTTGGCTAGAATATGCGCTTCTCTTAGTCTGGGGATCATCATGATGGATATCTTTCTGATTCCTTTCTTCACTTATTGTCCACATATTTGTGTATTTTATGACATGATCATTATCAAAAGTATTTCAGGTTCTAAGAAAATATCATG